CCGTCTCCCCTTACACACTTTCGCCCTATTCGCACGAGAGACATTATTTTAAAGCACATTTCGAGCACCTGTTACTTTCAGAACATGATACAAGAGTCCATGACAGGCAGAGAGTCCACAACACCACACAATTCAAGGGTCCTAAGATCACTAATTCACTCAATCAACCAACACAATATGAAGAAGAAATGAGACTTCTTAAATGCATCAACATCCTCCATAGTGCTACACTACCTCCCTAGGTTGCAAATCACTACAAAGACTGTCAATTCAAAGCATACTGAGCAAGCAATTTCAAGGGACACGTACATGGAGCCCTCAAATTTAAAAATTTGGACAGTGGACTAGGCTCCAAGCACACAAACAGAGCTAATGCAGTCAAAAGATAAACATCCCCCCCACACTTAAGATCGACATTGCCCTCAATGGAGAAGAGGGAAGGAAAGGGGAACGATGTTACCGGTGAGCACAGACTGCAGGGGACTGGAAATGGACCAGTCGGCATGAGACGGACTGGAGAGAGGACCAGTCGGGAACACAGGCAGAGCTAAAAGAAACCAAAAAGCTCAAACACATACGTTAGGTCCAATGGTCAGCCCAATATTACATCATCCAAGACAAAAGAAAACAAACCAAAGCCAAAGCTATTGGCAATCCGACCCAAAACAAAAGAAATAAAAGAAAACCGAGGTGGGGTTGCCTCCCCACAAGCGCTTCTTTACCGTCTTTTAGCTGGACGCCCATGGTGGATACTCAGCGGGGTGCAGGAACAGGTACCTCTAAGAGCGGATCCACATTGCTCTTGAGGTACAGCTTCAGGTGTTGACCGTGCACCCGACGGTTGCAACCACCAGCAGAGGTCAGCTCGACCTGGCCATCCGGCAAGATGCAGGCGAGTGAGTACTCGGATGGCCAGGGTGGTCGTGGTGCAGGTGGTGGAACCAGCTCGTAGTGGTCGCCACCCTTCTTCCGTGCAGGCGTAGCAACCTGCTGCTTCGGCCGCCACTCCTCCTTGAGCTTTTTGTTTGGAGGCGAGGCTGGATGGAGTGGCAGCGAAGGAATGATAGGAGGGTCCTGCAAAATGAGAGGTGCAGAAGGATACACGACAGGCTCGTGTACCTGATCAGAAATGGCATGCACAGGTGTGACAGCAAGCATAGCACATTGATCGAAATCAGTCACAGAAAAAGTAGCCTGTTCATTCCCAGCACGCAAGATCAGTTTACCATCATGCACATCAATCAATGCCTCGGCGGTGGCAAGAAATGGTCTACCTAGAATCAAAGGCACATCCACATCATCATTTATATTCAGAATAACAAAATCCACAGGATATGTGAATGCACCCACTTTAACAAGCAGATCCTCTATGATACCCCTAGGATGCACAACGGATCGGTCAGCTAGCTGAATGCTCATCCTAGTAGGGCTAAGTTCACCTAGGTATAGCTTTTTGAACAGTTTATATGGCATGACATTAATGCTAGCGCCTAGGTCCGCCAAGGACTTTCCTACATGCATGCTGCCAATAGTAAGAGGGATAGTAAAACTCCCTGGATCCTTGCGCTTTTCGGGCAGCTTGTTCTGCAGGACAGCAGAACACTCCTCGCTCAGCAGCACTGTCGAGAGATCCCCAAGTTTCTTCTTGTTGGTGCAGAGATCTTTCATGAACTTTGCGTACTTGGGCATCTTCGACAGTGCCTCCACAAATGGTACGCTGATGTTGAGCTGCTTCAACATTGCCATAAACTTGGCAAACTCAGTCTCCAGCTTATCTTTGTGAAGGCGAGTGGGGAAGGGAAGCTGGGGTATGCTCCTTCACCACTGGTTGTGGCTTGGGAGCAAGGGTCTTCCTTCTCCACCCGCACTTCTGCATCACCGGCTGGAAGTGCTGAAGCAGGTAGTGGTGCCTCCTGCCTGGTCGGGGCAGGATCAGCTGATGTAGGCCTGCCGCTCCTGGTGAAAATGGCATCCAGCTGCTCGTGCGGGTCCCGTGGATTGGGGATGGTGGTGGCAGGTAGAGTCCCCGGGGCCCGAGCAGTAAGCTGGCGCGCTAGGACACCGACTTGGTGCTGTAGATCTTGCAGAATAGCACCCTGGTTCCTCTGTCCTGCCTCCAAAGAGGCTATGCTCTGGTCCATCCTCGTGAAATTCGCCTGGCTGGTGGTCATGAATGTCGCCAAAATATTCTTCAGATCAGCCATCTGATTATCGGGAGCTGCGGCTGCTGGAGGCTGAGCAAACTGGCCCTGGGGCTGCTGGAATGGCTGCCCTTGCCTAGGCTGGTAGGGCTGCTGCTGTGGTGGTGGCCCCTGCCTAGCCTGGAAGGGCTGCCTCTGCTGAAAACCACCTGCTGGTGCTGGGAAACCAGGTGGTTTGTTGGTGTTGCTGCTCCAGGTAAAATTGGGATGCTGGCGCCATTCCTCATTGTAGGTACTGCTGTATGGGTAAAGGCGCCGAGCATTTGCTATGAAGTCCACCTGCTCTTGGGGAGTAGAAGACTCCCTCATAGACTGACAATCCTCCACCAGGTGGTTTGGGCTCTCACACCACTGACACTGAGCTACTGGAGGCGTAGCTACACCTCGGCGCGGAAGGAGACTATTAGGCTGCTTCAATGTCTGCACCAACTCAGCCACCTGCTGCTCTAACCCGGACCTGGCCTCCATAGCATGCACGCCCCGGTCCCGGGAGTTCCTGCCTCTGGTTCTGCCCCCAGGAATGGTCTCGGGCAGCCAAGGTACTGATCATCTGGTTCAGCTCGGGTGGAGTCTTAGTAAGGATATCCCCTCCTGGGCATAGAGACTCATCACCCTCTGGCTGTCTGGGGTGAGGGCACTGTAGAAGTTCCCTACTGTGAAAGCATCGCTGAAGCCATGATGGGGACACTGCCAGAAGTATCCCATGTACCGCTCCCATGCATCACGAAGTGAGTCATCTGGCTCTTGGCGGAAGTGAGTGATCTCCCGCTGAATCTCCGTGGTCTTCGATGCCGGATAATACCGTGCACGAACTTGTCAGCCAGATCGTCCCAAGAGGTGATGGACAATGGGGGCTGGGTCTCCAACCACCTCTTAGCATTCCCCGCCAGAGAATGGGGGAAGAGGTGAAGGCGGATTGCGTCATCCGGACACCATTCAGCTTGAACCCGTTCGTCAGCTGGAGAAAACGGGAAAGATGTACCCGGGCTTCCTCATCCTTCAAGCCATGGAACTGGATAGAGGATGTGATGAGTTGAATCCAGCATGGCTTGATCTCGAAGTTGTTTGCAGGAATGGGCGGATAGAGGATGACCGGGCGGATGTCAGCAATCCGTGGAGTATTAGTACTCCAAGGTGGGACCCGGTGGTGGTGGATGATGATGGCCAGCTCCCTGGGGATTTGGGTCGTTCCCCAGGATCTGGTTCTGAGGAGGTGGGTTCTGATCGCCTTCCATCTCGTACTCGTCCTCGGAGTCGCTGCTCAATTGGCCGTCTCGCGCTCCACCGTAGCCAGTCTAGCTCGCTGTTGTCTCCGAAGTTGTTTGCAGGTGCGCTCAATCTCAGGATTCAACGGCAGTAAACCTCCCGACTGGCTACGGGTCATGCACTATCTGCACACAATCAAGCAATGCAAACCCGTGAAGGCACAAGTGGGAAGGAACAACACTCAATGCAAAAATGAAAATGCTAAAGTAACAGAAATCACTTTTCTTCAACAACCTAGCCGTCCCCGGCAACGGCGCCAAAACTTGACTCACTCCTACTGTCACTCTAGAAAATGGCCAAGTGCAACCACTTCCTAAAGCGTAGTATAGCGGGTTTGGGTTTTATTGTCAACCCGGGTCCTAGATGTGATGACTACTCGGTGAATTCTTGTTATTTAGCGGTGAACTTTTAGTGCAACTCAAGCAAACAAAACACAAAGCAAGTAAACGGTTGTTGTCAAGTCAAGAGAGGTCACCCGGATATGGTTCCCCCTAGACTGCAGTTAAGTCGGATTGCAATTTACCAAGTTCAGTTTTCATGAAAGTTATACTGCGGAAGGTTCTCAATTAGCCTGAAGTCTCGACTAAAGGTCTCCAGACCCTCTCAATCTGAGTCTCTAGCGGGCGACTAACCTCCACCGGAGTAAACAGATTGAGGCCCTAACGAACCAAACCTCCACTACCGAATTGAATTCGGTACAGAATAGCGAATTGGCTCCTCGACTAAAGTCACCAATTCGCCACCTTCGATTAAGGGTACTCTATCAACCTAGGCAGATATTCTCATTCTAGGTCAAAGCAGAAACAACAGGAATTTGATCAGGATTCAAGTCATTCAATCATTCAAACCTCAATCGAATATAATCAATTCACAAACTCTGTACTTGGGTTCATACAATCAGACCTAGCATACAAATCTAGGGTTCCCCATACCCAGATGAATGGGGAACTACTCCATAGAGAAAGAAGCAAAAGCAGATTCAGACGCGGAAATCATACTGTGAAGATGGATTCCTGCTCCTGGACGTTTAATCGCACTTCTCCAAGCTCAAACCGGGCTCCAATGGTGTTGAAGATCGATCTATGGCGCTTGGGAACTCTGGTTCGTCGCTTTCTCTCTCTAGGTATCGCTTTCTCTCTCAAAAACTCGGAACCCTCTGAAAATTGGCCTTCTTTCTCTTTTATCAGCTGCCCTCGCGATACCCGGTCGAAATACCCGGTCAGGTATTTAGGGTTTCGACCGGGTATTTTCAAAACACGCCGTTTCATAAAGGAGAAAATCCCCGGTCTGTTCTCGTAATCCCCAACTGGGGATTTAAGGCATTTGCCCGGGCCCTCCTCTGTTTCTCATGGGTGCCGAAAACGATAAATACCCGGTCAAAGCCAGAAAATACCCGGTCGGGTATTTCTTCCTTTGGCCGGGTATTTTGGTGCAACAGCCTCCTTTGTCCCAACTTCGCTCCTTTCGACCCGGAACTCGTTTCTCCGCCTCGATTCCAACGCCGGGACCTGAAACATGACATAAACACACAACCTAGCGTAAAATCAGCTTAAAACACGAGATATGGAAGAAAGAGTGGTACCAGAGTTGGGTGTAATCATGTGGCCAAACTCTCCGGAAATGCTCCAATGGGGAGCCAACCATGGTGAACCCTTCCGACCACATGAGCTTGGGGAAGAAGGAGGAGATCCGGGCCAAGCCGTAGCCGGAGATCCCGTCGGGGGAACGTGCCGCCTTGAGCTTCTGCTGAGCTGGCAGGCTGAAGAAGCTCTTAGCGACGTTCTCCATGCGGTCGAGGACGGTGGTGGGGACTCCATGGTTGACGACTTGAAACACTCCCCACCGTCTGCATGCATGGCCGATTTCCTCGAGGGCGTTCGGGTCGGAGAGGTCGACCACGGGCACCGGCTCGTGGTGGGCCGGGTCGGGCTGGGCTCGGTATTGGTCCTCGTCGGAGGCCCATTTGTAGGAGTCCGGGAGCTCTTTTAGGGAGGTGAAGTCATGGAGGTGCTTTGGCTGGAGGTGTACCGGATGGGCTCGAAAAGCATCGGCTAGTCTGGATGGCATAGTGTTTCTTTTTGTTCTTCTTGTTGTTGTTGTTGTATTATAGCGGGGAAAGAAGAAGAAGAAGAAGAAGAAGAGAGGAGAGGTATATAGTGGGGGACAAGGAATATGGGAAGAATAGTAATGGGGATTTGGAGAGTGTCGTTCGAGAGAGAGGTGGAAGGGTGAGAGCCTTGGGATCCAGTTATGTGCTGCTGGATGCGGTATATATATAGAGCAATAGCAGCCATGGGCCCGCAAATTATTTTATGTAAGTAAATGGGAAGAGAACAAAACCAAAGTATATATATTCTTTTTTTTTACAAAAGATAATCATATATAGATTCAATAAAAAGTTACACCCTAGAAAGCAGCCAGGTCTGATAGTCAAAGAAACGACTCATGATCGGGTATAGAGACAGGGCCTTTCTAGCCACCCTATCGGCTACCCTATTATTACACCGACCCACGAACCGAATACTACACCCCGAATGGACGCGAAAATAATTCACGAGCTCCTCAAGAACAGCACCCATCCTGTTATCTCTATGGTCCCGCCGATTGATCTTGTCGATGATTACTTTGGCGTCACCCTCAAAACGAACCTCTGACAGGCCTAGCTCCAGACACCACAGCACCGCCTCCCGGAGTACGAGTAGCTCCACCACCATTGGGTCATCAATAATAGGAATCACAACGCCTTTAACCATCCTAACCCCCCCCCCCCCCCCCCCCCCCCCCTCCAGAAGGATAGAAGAGAACCACCCCTCCTGTCGAGTGAGACCCACTCTTTGTTGCTCCATCCCACCTACAAACCATACGAGGGGGTTCTCCAACCAAATGTTCCTGGCGGGGCTCAGTCGGAAGGGCCTGCGAGGGACGGCGCTCGGGCAGACGAACCCACTCCTCATACTGGTGGTGAAACTGGCGCATTAACACCTGGACCCCGAACTGTTTGCCTTCGAAGACAACCCAATTACGTGAACGCCAGATTCGCCAAAGGACAGCCACCACTGCCATAAACATCGTGGGTTGATGAATCAGAGCCAGCAGCTTTTTGAGAAAAAGGGGAAAACCAAAGTATATTCAAAATGTTTTTTCCCTAGTAAAAGAGTGTATTGAGGGGGATTTTGGTTCGAGTGTAAGTTCAAATTTGGTACTGATGAGTCTAACCGTTTCATTAAGGGTGGTAAATGGATTGGATTTATATATTGGTGAATTGGATTAGAGGATCAATGGATTGGGTTATATGGATTGTTTGATTGACTTATGAATATAAATGACACTCAAATTTTGGACCATTATGTAAACTTTGAAAAACTTAGGCACTAAAAAGTCATAACGAAAATTTTTAGGTATCAAAATGTAATTTTCCAATGATATTTTTGTAAGAAAATTACTGTTATGTACCAAAATGTAAAATAAAAAAAATATAGGTACTCAATTTTTATTTGCCATTTGAATTCATGGATTGATCCGCGAATTCTCCAATCCAAATAGATTTGGATCAAATTGATTGAATTAGTTGGATAGTTTAGTGGATAGATTGGACTGGATTGATGGATATGGATCCTTTAATTAAACTCAGAGGGTACATTATATACAACCATAAGCTTCCATAAAAACCAAAGTGGATATGTACGATGGTTTTAACTCACGCATATTTGTATTGATTAGTGTTGCTCTCCTCAATTTGATCACTTAAAACTAGCCCCTTAACAAATAGCAATTATAATTGTGTAAACACTATGTGGCCCATATAATTACTAGGAAATAAAATTTCCTAACACCTAATTCTACAAACAAAAACCTGAAGATTAAATTAATATAATAATAGATGATTCTGATTTACACAATTTGCTAACACTTCAAATTACACTATCATGACATGTTCATCATGTCATGATTTTGTGATACGATGATACGACCAATGAAGTTAAAAGCGCGATTCTACCTAGAAGCGGAAAATGGGTAAAATCATAAAACGTAGAATCAAAGCGTAAAAGCGTAAGTTTTTGACGCACCTCTAAAATAGCTAAAATATGTTAATACAACATATAATATGTAAAATGTGAGTGTGTAGATTTTATATAAGTGCATAAATACATTAAATTCATAATTAATTAAAATATAATATCTAACACATAAACTAATTTGTGTTGACTCAAAAGTAGATAAAACTCATAACATCTTAATAATAAGCACATAAGTGTAGATCGTAACCCGTAAACGGGCTTGAGAATCCAAATTCTCATAAGCTGGTTTGAGTTTACATAATTACATAAGATCAATTACCAATAAACTTTTATCGTAACCCAGGTAAGAGCCACAAGTGAAGATTAAGGGAGAAGACTGATAAAAGGTCAGCGGCTGTTGAGAATACCATTAGGTGTCTTTTCAACATAACGTGAAACCCCTATCTCGACACAAGTTGTAGAACGAGTGATGAATCATGTTTTCCTTTTTTTTTTTAATTTTTGGCTGATATGTCTCCAAAATTAAATCATTTTGGGCCAATTAGCACATTTTTATGATATGATCAAAATCGTATAAAAACGCTTCAGAATCGCGATTACTGATTTTAAGCGATTTTACCAATTTTACCCATGTTTTGACCAGTTTTTGTGACTAAGCGACTTTAGGTAGAAACTGAAACGTTTTGGTGGACTGAGTACGTAAAAACGTAAGTTTTTACGTTTTAATGCGCGATTTTGACTGCACTGGATACGACCTGATTTCGCATAAATTATTTTTAGATAAGGGTGATATAGGTTTCATTTTTGTTATTAAGGTACTACTTAGGGATTCAAAACTGGAACCTTCAAGTTCTAGATTAGTGGTATTACCACTAGACCAAGCTAAATGAAGACAAAATAGGAAAAATGCATATTTATAGGGTGTTTTATAGAACCGCACAAAGTTAAAAGAAGAAAAAAAAGGCGAAAGAAAGACTGCAACGGAGTTTTTTTTTCGTAGGGAAAGATTTTATAATGATATGCAATCATGAGTGCTAACCAAATTTGAAATAGAGAAGATTTTAGTGGGAAAGTGTACATTATTTTTTTAATGTCTATTAGTCAAATTAGTTCTCACTTTCGATTGGGAAGTCACACTCATGCTTATCAAAACTAGGAGCGGTTATCGGTCGGTTATCAGTTTAACCAATAATCGATTAGTCGATTATCGATATACTGTTTATTTTAAATCGCTGCTGGCTATCGTTACCAGGAGAAAACCGATTAACCAACTAAGCGAATAATCGGTTGCCACCCTTATCTTCTCAAGCATGGTTCAAAAAGGCACGCTTAATCTTACGCTTAGGCACGCCTAGGCGCAAGGCAATGACAAAACGCCTCGCCTAAGGATTTCGCGCCTAATTAGATACTGGAACACGTTAATGGAGTACAGCGACATATAAGTCTCTCCTAAACATTTACTAGATGGAGCTAAGAAGCCAATATTAAATACCAAAATTAACATCAACTTTGAAATCAAGTTTCTATTGCAATATTTTCAATAGCTCAAGAACTTTGTGAACTATTGAGCTATGATTTTTTTTTATGGGCTCTGATGGCTGCAATTGAAGGATTCCGGCCACTGGGCCAGTTTGCTTTATTGTTATTGAGCTATGATTCTATGAACTCGTAAGCTATACTCCTGTCATTAAGTGTTGAGTAAGATATTAATCAGTTTAACTGAAGTGAGGAAGTGTTGTAGATTATTATTTCATTCATCATGCACTGCGAATAGCTATTTTCTTCCAACACCTAGGCACGCTTAGTCAACGCCTAGGCGAGCTAGGCGCAAGGCAAAGGCTCAACGCCCACCTTACGCCTAGCGCCTTTTTGAACCTTGTTCTCAAGTAAGCCCCTGCCACCCAGTAATTCTCAATATCGTATCCCCTTCCGGCCTTCTCCCTCCTCACTTATGAGACTTTGTAGTGGTCTATACCAATATCACATCGCAATCTAGATAGAAGCATATCAATATTTGTGGGAGGTGGAATGGGGCGTGCATGAGGGCAAACACTATACCAACGAGCGAATCGAACCTACTTAACGTGGTTAGTCAATGTCCTATATATCTTTAATTGAATTAATTTTTTATTTTTAATTTCTTTTGTGTATTTTATGTTTTTTTTATGTATGTGGTTTATACTTACTTCTAAGATGTCATTAATTGTCTAGGATGAACAAGCCAATGCAAATTCCTATCGAACACCATGTAAGAACTAAGAATGAAAGCTCGACAATTGCCGGAACATACTTCAACCTTGTCCAAAGTTTATGCAACAATGTTATGCCCTGTAGCACCGATTCGACCAATGGATGAATCTTCCTTGGTCATGCCATCCAATCAATGTGATTTCCCGAGCCTTCTCGCAAGTGATTCTCCTTTTGTGATCAACCTTCCCAAAGGTCGAGACAAACAAACAAAGAACAAAAGAGGAACTCCAGATTTTGGCATGGAGACTCAGGAAAATAGTATGACCGAAATGGCATCAAAATCAACAACACAAGCAAAATTGGAGGGGGGACAAGGAAGTGAGGGAGAAACAAGATAGGGACTAAGGAGGAGCAATGGAAAATAATTAGCTTGAGAAAGAAACAGTGAGTAAGGATCTTTCTCAATAGATTTTTCAAACTAGATCGTCATACCAAATAAAATAAAAAAAGATTTTCTACCAAGTCAATAAAAGTTATATCTCCGGGATGGATCAATCTATATTTGCCTCTCATAGTCCTAACTAGTAACCTTTATGTAGTTTGATTTATGGTTTATTTTAAGTATATTTTCTCAATTACTAAAGAAGCTAATTATCTTGTTTTCGTTATTGAATATGTTATATTTAATTAAAAATTAAAAAAATACATCAAAATATTCGCACAAAATAATTATTACTACCTGTATAAAAATATACTACCAACCTTATTAGTAGGGATGGGCATGTGGGTGGTTAATCCACAGATTGATATCGGGTTATTTGTGGGTGGGTGGTGGGTGGATTGCGGGTCACTTGTATG